GGAGAGCATTTGTTTGGTCGGCTCGTGATCCATCGTCAAGTTTTGAGCTAGCCCGGATGCTTGCATGGACATCAGCGCAATACTTCCGTACGGAATCGAGCAAGGTATTCGGTTGAGGGCTGAATTCTGCTGGAAAATTCTTGGGCGTTGCTTATATATGAGACTGTATTTGCACTGCACAGACGGGTCCAAAACACAAATACTGCTGTCCTCTCATGGTTCCCGTGCTCTGTTTTTATGCAGTGATGGAATTTATCACGGTGTCACACATCGCATAGTCGAATTTGACTTTTTGACAATTATCAGATTATTTTTTTGCGCACCGGAATGTATAATAATTCGAGTAAAATGTGCATACAGTGGAAAATAAGAAAGGCACGCCACCGTGTGGTACTGATCAAACTAACACAGTTTGAACAGAACTAACAGAGCCTTTTAGCTCTCCCACAATGACCTGTGGAACCCGCACCAAGCTGCTTCATTATTAAGTAATGCGAGAAATAGTGGGATTTGTGATTTTTGACTTGTAATCATTAAGCGACTTGTAATCCCAGCTTGATGAAGCTTCTCTGTGAACCCCTTGTAATTTAGGAAGGAACAATTCCAATTTTTGCTTGGAAATGAAAGCAGAAATGAGCAACTTCGAAAAATTCCAATTTTTTCCTAATCGAAAACTTCCCATTCACTGTGCATGAGAAGATGGTGCTTTCGGGGGGTGGCAGATGCCAACTACTACCATCCGCTGGCAGCCCTATCCAAGGCACATTCATTGGCGTGTTGCTTGCAAGCAAGCTGATGATGGGTCCAGGTTAGTGAGATAAACCAGCACTTTTTAAGCGAGACTTTAGCAAAGTGGTTATTAATTTTGCGAAGTCGAATTTTTGACTTTCAATAAAGCAACAGCGCTACTAGCCAATGCTACATCTTCAATCTTTTCAAGGGCACACCTTTTTAAAGGATACTCTTTGTGTTACTGTTAAAACCGTCTAGTAAAGCCAAGGGGAACGACGCTTGGATCAATTAATGAGGAAGTAAAGTAGCTGGTTGTTTTCTTTTTGGCTGTGAAGAGGGAATACAGAAAAATAATTTGGGACTAAGAGGCCCAACACTCCTAAGAGGCAGTAGTTCCACAGTGGCAGATCATTACAGCATTACCAAAGCATACCGCCTGGAAAGACCAGAAGAAACAAGAAGGATAAATACGCAAATTATTCATTCAACAAGTTCTGGTGATCTTTTCCAGCGCTTCGTATAGCTTGTCGACGTTTTCGTCCGTGAATACTCGCTCTTTTGAGCCAGCAATCCTCTCCAGTTCTGCCAAGCTAATTGGATACTGAAACCATATTTTTGTCAAAATATGACAGAATTATTTTAAAAAGGGTGCAAAGGGCAGAGGATTCCAGCTATCACATAACTGCACACAAGTAACGCCAGAAATTTCGAATTGGGTACGGGTCGCTGTGATGTTGAGCACAAAGGAATCAAACAGATCCATGATTTACAGCGCTACTACCCATTTATGATTACATTCTGTAGCATTTATGCGATAAAAATTGTATAGTCAGGACGAATTGTACACTCAAGAAAAATGCACCGATAGAACAACTGTTGAAGTGTTGACAGGCGGTAAATCCCTCTCAAAAAAGGCTAATGAAATTGAGACAATACCCTGAAATCCGCAATAATAACCAGCTGAATCACATGCGCTTACAGTCAAATTGCTTTTGCTTTTTATGCGTTTCGTGCTGCAACTGTTGTACAAAACGTATATTATCGAGGTTGTTTTTATGTATGTTGTATGTGTGTGTGTGTGTGTGTGTGTGTGTGTGTATTTTCAACTGTTGAAGTGTTCATAAGCGGTAAATTCCCCTCAAAAGAGGCTAATGAAATTGAAATCCGTAATAATGACCAGTTGAACCACAAGTGCTTACAGTTAAATTGCTTTTGCTTTTTATGCGTTTCGTGCTGCAACTGTTGTACAAAACGTACATTATCGAGGCTATTTGTATGTATGTTCTATGGGTGTGCGTGTGTTTTGTGTAGTGCTGCTTGTTAATAAGCCCTGAGTAAGGAGTTGTCGAAGTATTGTTCTCGACAACTAATATTATGTGTATAAGAAAACACAGTGATACCTGGCGGTTGATCGCTACAGCAAACATATTTGGAATAAGGTTCCTAAGAAGAGCCGCTGCTTCGGTGGTATCTTTTTGCCCGAAACCATCTGTAAATATAATTCCAAACGGCGTGGCCTGCCCTGGGCGCGCACCTTTCGTCGATGAATATTCCGTTATCGCCTACAGTAATGAAGCTTTTATAATTTAACAAAATTTCACGTTATTTTTGACTCTTTTTTTGGTGAAAATAATCCGTCAAATTACTAGCGCCCATACTAATTGGTCTATTTGGTGTTTGGAAACGTTCTAGGGCGAATAACAGTGTTTTTTTTTCCGCGACTTGGGGAAAAAATTTCGTAGGAAAAGATCAAGGACCACCCATCGCACCTTTCCTCCCCTCTCCTCAGCAAAAAAATTCTTGCTCAAAACCACAGCTTTAACTTATACGCCAAGTTTCGGCTTAGTTGGTCATTTAATGGAACTAATTGTTAATAGGCCTAACTGCATGGAATGGCCACGTGACAATCGAAACTGTTGCCGAGAAACTAGTTTATTTTTGGAAAAACTAAATACTGGGGTTCTCCAGCATGTCAAATAGCCCCTGTTCAGAAATCTGGGAGCAACTGGTGGTGTTTGATCTTTGATGCCGTCGGGGTCAGAAAAATTTTATTTGCACAAAACAAAAAAAAAAAA